GGGGGAGGAGATATTCTTTAGTTTTGATAAAGTGTTTTACCGTACTTGCAATAAAATTAGGTCACATAAGTTCTGAAGATTAGAAGTGTTACCAGACAGTAACATAGAATAATATAAGATAATGTAAGATAAGATAAGACAATACTTTGTTATCCAAGAATATTTCTTGGCTGACATATATACATAAAAGAAAGAAGAAGAGAGAAGGATAACAGATGTCTGATAGGAAAGATGGAGCAAACAAACAAACAACCCCCTTCCAACCTCCCCCCCCCCGACCAGAGCGCCCATCAACCACTCAAGGTGGAACAGTACTGACGTCATTCTGTTATGATAAGGGCAAGCTTAGTTCAGACCAGATAATATGTGAGACAGAGTAAATATTAACAAGTCGCGAAAATATAAACATGATAAGATTCACTGTGAAAAATGTAAATATAAAACTTTTAATGCTGGTGATTTTACGCTCTCATCAACACTATTGGTCGCTTCTAAGCATAAGGGGGCTAATCCGAAAAATGCTGTTTTGAGAAAATCGAAGGTAAAATTTTTGCGCTTTGTTCTGTTTCTTTAAAAGACAAGGAGAGTTTTCTTTATAGTCAAACAAATATACATACTAATGAAATCAAACTTCTCCAATAGATAGAGGGCAATGCCCACTTTTGGTTTAGGTCAAGATATCTGGAAACTCTCAAAATCTGGGTAAGCCCGCTTGCCCTTAAAAGCGACCAATTTATTTAGATCAAAAGCCGGGCTTCGACATACAAACGTGTTATTCAAGGGAAATAGCCCAGCAAACATCAATGCACATTGATTATTTACATGTGTTGCCTCCCCTAGTCCACACACTTCCTCTTGTGACACGGTTATGTCTTTGCATGCAGAGCGTAAAATGACGACAGAACTGATGCTTGATCGGAACGAAAGAGCAAACTACACTACACGACCTGCCAACCATCCACAGCGGCTCTCCCAACCTAAACTGATTTGAAAGCAATGCAAAGATGTACGACCCCTCAGCCCCCCCCCCCTTCTTTTTCCACCTTTTGCGCCCAAAGTCTATCAGAGAACACAGCAGTAATTAACTGAAAGTTCACTTACTGTTTAAAAGTATTAAAGGTTTTAAATTGGCTGTGTTTTCTCGGAAGTATTGAAAAAGTACAGGACAGAAGACTTAATGAATTTTAAAACAAAATTAGGACCACAGACAGCACCTACAACAACTTCTATAACAACATAATATAACAATAGAATGTGACTTAACGACAACAACAACATAAAGTATTATAACATTTATCAGTTGCTACTTTCAACAACAGAAGCAACAACAACAACAACAACAACAACAACAACAACAACAACAGTAAAAAAAAAAAACGGCCACTACAGCAACTGTAAAAATTTAAACAAAGATAATGAATGGCATTTCTGAACACATAATTAAACACAAAAATATCTTTTTAAAAATACAAAAAAGAACAAAATGCAAATACAGACGAAACAAATATTATAGGAATGGCGAACGAGAATTTAATTTAGTTCAATTAAGAGTTTAAGCGCACTTGCAACACAAATTGGTCACTTAAGTAACAAACATTAGAGCAGATGTAGAATACTCTACAAAGAGAAGAAGGTGTAAAGACGAGAACGATGCGTGTTTTTTATGAAAGACAGAGAAAACGAGAGTAACAGCAAAAACCCAGAAAACATCAATCACAACAAATTTGAAAAAAAACAACAACAACAATATCCGGCGGTGGCATCCCTTCGAGGAGGATTCAGGGAGGTTGGACTGCCTCACCAGCTACCCAAGAGAGGCGGTGGCATCCCTTCGAGGAGGATTCAGGGAGGTTGGACTGCCTCACCAGCTACCCAAGAGAGGCGGTGGCATCCCTTCGGGGAGGATTCAGGGAGATTGGACTGCCTCACCAGCTACCCAAGAGAGGCGATGGCATCCCTTCGGGGAGGATTCAGGGAGTTTGGACTGCCTCACCAGCTACCCAAGAGAGGCGGTG